CGAGCACACGTGCAGTGTGTCACACGCTGATAGGCAGGGGTGAACTGGTGAACACCCCCATCCTGAAGATCAGCACCCGCCACAAAGTTCGTAGAGAACGAGGGGAGGTGAAGACCAGACAGCGAGCCGGACGGAGCCGCAGGACACGGGAGAACAGTGGAGGAACGGGCCACAACTGGTCCCCCAGAGGGGTCAGCAAGAGAGACTGCCAGAGGCCGACTGAGCGGCGAGAGTGTGGTGCAGTCGCGAAAGAAGGAGCGGGAAGCACCCGAGTCTAGGGTGAAAGTGTGTAAGACCTGAGCCGACGCTGTACCTGAGAGAGCAGTCTCACCAGCACCTGGAGTAGTAGACTCACTAGCACCTAGCGCAGAAGCCTCAATGCCCGGGTCGGGCGGAACACACAGGTAACAGTCACCCTCAGCACTAATAGACACAGCATACATAGCAGCAAGGATAGCATCAAAGTCAAGATCAAAGATAGCAACCCCCGACTTAAGCAGAATATCCAAGCGAGGGATCTCAGCAGAGCCAGGGAACTGGGTACGCCAGGCGTCAGTCAGGCGGCCGAAGCAGCGAGGTGTGGTGTGCGGGCCGCCGCACGTCTCTCCACTGTGGTCGCCGGTGCGAAGAACATAAGTGCAGGGACCAGCACCCCCAGACCTCCCACGCCCAGCGTACCACTCACGGAGCTGCTGAGGCGACAGGGTCTCACGGGAGCGCTGCTGCTGCTGGCGCTGGTCACCGCTAGCGCCTCCCCGCTGCCCACCACCGCCCCCGCCACCCCCGCCGCCGCCACCTCCACCCCCACTCCCGCTGCCTCCGCCGCCTCCACCTCCACCGCCGCCACCGAAGGCCCCACCCGAGCCACCACTCCCACCTCCACCCCCACCCCCACCCCCGCTGCCACCTCCACCACCACCACCGCCGCCCCCGCCGCCCCCTCCACCCCCCTTGCCCCCCTTGCCCTTGCTGGTGCGGCGCCTCCCACTAGGAGCAGACGTAGCGCCGACCGACTCCGTGCCAACGAGGTCGACAGCAGCAGCAGAGGCAACAGAGGGCAAGAGGGGAGAGGGGGAGCACCCCTCAAAGAAAGGGGCGCGAGGGTCACCACGAGAGGCCCCTACAGCGACTATACTCTTCTCAGCTGCAAGGAGACGCTCCTCGAGGAGGTCAACGGTGAGCATGGTGGGCCAGAGGGAGAGGAAGTGGTCCCTGACCGAGCAAAGGGAGTCAGGGAGCCGGGTGACGAGGTAGTAGAGAGTGATGTACATAGGGGGGGGGGTTCTTGGCGCAGAACTCGGCAGGAAGCGCAGCGCGGTAGCGGGTGTCACTAGTGCGGAGGTGCGTGATGAGGTCAGCGACTGTGGCAAAAGCGGCTAGGTCAGGGAACAGGTACGGCAGCATGAGGCGACTAAGGGCAGCAATGGCAGGGTAGGAGTAGCGCGCAACAACAGCGTCGTACAGAGTCCTAGCGGTCTTGTACTGACTAAAGTGCGTGCGCTCAGCAGACGGCAGGTGACTACGAATAGCAAGGCGGGCAGCAGCATCGCGAGTGGTCCACTGTGAGCGAACAGCACTATCAGCAGTGGCAGCAGGTGCAGCACAGGCGCCAGACGTGAGATAAAAAAGCGAGACCTGATCTTTGCTATCGCACTGCAGGAACAGCTGTAGATCATCGACCCAGACCTCAAAATCTACTGCCCGACCCTCAGCATCGAATTTGAGTACGTTGGGGGCAGCCATGACAGCAGTAGCAGGAGCAGTAAGAGCAGCAGGAGCAGCAGTAGCGGCGCGACTCGATAGGGCGGCGCGGCTAGGCAGGGCGGCGCGGTTCGGCAGTGCGCTTACCAGGGGCGGGTGGGTAGGGAGGCCGCTACTGGTGGGGCAGGGCCGTGGTGCGCCGGCAGGGTCGGGGCCGCAACTGGGCGGCAGGTCAGGGCCGCGGCTCGGCTGCAGGGCAGGGCCGGGGCAGAAGCGACGGCAGCGGCGGCGGCGGCTCGTCACACCGGCGGAGGCAGGCTCGGCGGCGGCGGCAGGGACAGCAGCTGTTGCAGGGCTCCTCGGCGGCTGCTGCAGGTGGAGGCCGCGACTGGCGAGAGGGGCAGGGCGGGGCCGCAGTGGCGGGTCGCCGAGCAGAGCAGAGGAGGGCCGTGCCGAAGGCAGGGCAGGCCGCGACAGGTGACGGGGCGGGGCCGCGATGGGCCGTGAGGGGGGCCTCAACGGGCCGCGAAGGGGGCCGCAAAGGGCCGTGAGGGGGGCCGCAACGGGCAGCTAAGGGGCCGCGAAGGGCCGTGAGGGGGCCGCGAAGGGCCGCGAAGGGGCCGCGAAGGGCTGAAAGAGGGGCCGCGAAGGGCCGAGAAGGGGCCGCGAAGGGGCCTTAAGGGGCGCGACGGGCCGCTAAGGGCAGGGGACGCGACGGGAGGGCAGGCGCACGGGGCGCAACTAGGGCAGGCGCGAAGCGCGCTCCGGGCAGGTAAGGAAAAAAAAAAAAAAAAATCGTAGTAGTGGTGGGCCCTAGAAAACGTTCCCACTAGGGAACTCGCTCTATACCATGTGAAAGAATTACGAGGAATGATTTACTAGGAAATGAGTTGGGTACAAATATGTAACCCTAGGAAACTGTACCCCATACTGTCTACCCCACTACAGCCTAGAAAGACTATAGTATGATTGTTTGACACCCTCCTCCCCCAACTTGCACTCGCACCTCTGTCCCCCTAATTTAGAAGATTCAATAGAGAAGTATGTTAGGAATACTAACGTTAAAGTTGTTGGGCTGAGAAAAGCCCTTAGGATCTTTGCAAGGCTAAACTCTGGGTAGGAATGTTGTAGTTGCGGAAGCGTTTTGGTAAGAAGTATTGAACCACGTTGCGCTGGTATGTGAGGGCAAAGTAGATTGATTATAAGAAAGTAATACAAGCTTTTATAAGATTACAAGGAATATGAAAGGGTGCAACTAATAACTGTTTTACCGTTGCTGTTGTGGTTCGATACAGTGACGACTCGGGCAACTGCTCAGTATCGAGTCAGTTGTTTGTCCTTGTTTGTCCTTGTATTTGTCAGGTCAATGGTCGCTGACCTTTGACTTTCACGTAACCTCCAGCAGCTACTTTTCTTCTCAACCTCCGATGGTTGACTCGCCGATGCTTCGTTGTACTTTGCTTCGTTTACGACTCAGTGTTTCGACACAGCAGAAGCGCTTAGATCACTTGTTTCTAACACTCCCCTTCGCTTCTGGAGTGTCGCTGCTGGTGACGTGGCCTTGTCCAGTCAGCAGCATGCAGTTCTCGAACTTCTGTTTTCCGAGCTTCTTGGTCAAGTAATCGGCTGCCATCTCGGATGTAGGACAGTAGGACAGTTCGAGTCTCCCCTTTTTTATCTCGTCCTTCACGAAGAAATATCGCATGGCGATGTGCTTCGTTCTATTCGCGAATCCATTTTTGTTGGCTATGCGGATTGCCGACTGGCTGTCGCAGAACAGGGAGAAGTTGGGTAACTGAGCCAGCTTCGCTTCTTCCAGCAGTTCACGAAGGTACAGTCCTTCCTTGGTGGCTGAGCAGAGTGCGATATATTCCGCTTCAGCTGAGGAGAGGGCGATTAGTTCCTGCTTGCTCGACTGCCTCGAGATAGGTCCGATAGGCTCGAGTCGGTAGATGTAGCCGGTACGTGAGCGCCTGTTGTCAGAGTCTCCTGCGTGATCAGCATCGACGTAGCCGATTAATTAAGGCGTCGAGGTTCCGGTCTTGTGATAGGTTAGACCGATCGTTGGAGTGCTGACGAGATAGTGGAGTGCGCGGTCGAGCTCCGCCATGTGCTCTGCTTCGGGTTTTTTTAGGTAGGTGGCGAGTTGGCTTGCGGAGTACGAGAGATCCGGTCGGCAGGTGACGGCTGCGAAGAGCAAACATCCCAACTTTCGCTGATAGTCGCGTATGCCGGCGGGCTTGAGTAGAGCGGAGGCTTCCTTATGACTTCCGGCGGTACAGCGATATGGTGTGGAGATTGCGGTTGGGGTGAGTCCGAAGCGCTTAGCGATGGTGTCGGCGTATTTCGCGGCACTGAGGTAAATCGCGTTCTCCTCTTCTTGAATGTTGAGTCCGAGATATTGCGTTACGGTAGACGAAACCGTGAGCGTGAGGTCCTGCTGCAGCTCCCCTTCGAACCAGGTCGTGATGCCGTAGGTCGAACCGATGTAGAGCAGATCGTCCACATAGACGATGAGAAGAATGTAGTCGGTGCCTTTCGTGAGCCGGTACATGCCCTGGTCGTGCGGTAGCTGACAGAATCCGATGCGGATGAGTCGTGCGTGTAGGTACTGCTGCCACACTCTCGGAGCTTGTTTAATGCCGTATAGAGACTTCAGCAGTTGACAGACTTGGTTGGGGTCTGCGTTGGAGCCGTGTGGTTGCTCGACGAAGATCTCAGCATCGACAGGTGCGTAGAGAAATGCGTTGGCGACATCGATTTGACGTAGCTTCTTATTCTCCATGGCGGCTATCGCGAGGAGAATCCGCAGAGAGGTGTATCGGCTGACCGGCGCAAACGTTTCGGTGAAGTCATGTCCGTGCTCTTGGTCGAAGCCGCGTACCACCCAGCGCGCCTTGAAATTATCAATGGTGCCATCTGCTTTGGTTTTCACACGGAAAACCCATTTTCCGGTGAGTACCGTTTTGTTACGAGCCACGCCAATGGGAACGTTTTTCCAGGTGTTGCGTTCTTCCAGCGCCTTTAACTCCCTGTCCATGGCTTCGCGCCATTTTTCCTTATGCTACCCCCCCAGAGCCTGCTGAACCGTGGCAGGCTCCTTGGAGAGGCGCCGTGCCGTGGACTGCAGTTGTGAGAGTACGACGGCTTATGCCAGCTATGCTTGCTTGTAACAAGGCAACCCACTACTGGCCCACATACCACTTCCCATGATCCATCCCCAATCCACCGCCCATCATGTCCTCCTCTTTTCCCCTTTTCATACACCTTCCATTCCGCTCCCACCCCCCTGCTTGCCTATGTGCACCGCACGGCACGTCACATCCCTGCCATGCCATCGCCACGCGTGTGCGTACAGGGTGCAGGGGGAGTTCTGCGACCAGCTGTGGGACGTCATGGGGGCGGCGCGCTTCTGGTTCACCAAGACCGACGCCTACTTCCTGCCCTCCCTCTACTATGTCCCCTCCTTCGCTGTGAGCCTCCACTTTGTCCCTCCATGCCCCTTCTCCACTGCTCTCTAGGTCAAGTGAAGCCATTTCTCCTTCCTGCCACATTGAAGAGTTTTCAGGGTTCTCCTGACACAATGTCCCCTCCATCATACACCAACAAGCAACGAATAATGAGCAATGACTTGACTGTTCCACTCGGACAGATCAGTATCAAGCCTTGCACTATTGTTCGGTGTCCTTCCCTCCAAACAAATAAACAAGCGGGTGTCCTTTCCTCTCTCTTGTGTCTCGCTCCCACCCATCCACTCAACAGGCACGGCTGAATGAGCTCTTTCCAGACGGCCGCATCTACACACACGTGGCACGCTACCTGTTGCACCCCGACAACCAGCTGTGGGGAACCATCACTGCCGCCTTTCATGCCAACCTCACCCGTTTCTCACACCGCCTGGGCGTTCAGGTGAGAATGGCATGCAGAAGATTCCTGTGAAAGGTAACTTCGTTGAATTCGATTGGATAGCGAAAATATCGGTTCGGAATTTAGGTGGGAGGATGCAGCTTTGGAGTGGATAGAATGGGGGGCCGTAATCCATAAACATTTCCACTGTTTACCCTGTTCAGTTTGGTGCATGTAGGATAGACATGAGCAAAGTACTCGCCTCGTCGTCACTCGCAGCACTCGGTCGATTATTGCTCCACCTGTTGCACGACTCGTTACTTGTCAGGTTAGACGAGTTGTATGGATACTTGGCCAAGTCTTTTTTAAGTTCGGCTGAGGGCGAGTGAAACTCGCCTCATAGTCGTTGGTGGCAGAGACTGCTTAACTGTATAAACCTGCAACACCCTTCGAGTCCCTGGATTTAGGTGAGACATGCTGCCGCACGAACCCGCATCGTTCTGTCATGCCAGAAGCAAATCTAAAAGTAAAACACAGTGAGTCTGAAATAGCTCGCGTGCTGCGCGAGCTTTGGACGAGTTTTAAAGACTCGTCAAGTAGAACTCAGCTCGTCGATTCCAAAACACGTCACGCTCTATCTTATGAGTGCCGGGTACGAGCCACGGCATAGAGCTTGCTTCGGGGCTCATGTACAATGTGGGATTCATACACACAGCACAGTATGATGGGATGGATCAAGGCTGCATGTCTGGTGCATGCCTGGATGAGTTGTATAATCTAGAAGGCTTGGAGGCTCGTAAATGCATAGACGAGACAAAGGGAAACATTTGTGTGATCAGCCAACCCTGACGATAGCTCGATACAGAAACAAAGGGAAACTTGTGATCTACTGGAGGACTGTTGTATGGTGGTGTGTCTCAACTTGCCTGCCTGATTGATCGTTTTGAAAACAATGGTGGTGGAACGTGAGTCTGAGGGTACATTTGTGGCTCGTGTCTGACATGTGGTCAGACATGAATTGGAGTGTCAAAAGACACGAAGTGATCTGAAACTCATGCAAATCAATGTTTGGAAGACCCGAAGTGGGCTACTTCGGGTCTTCCGAACCTCCATCCGAACCTCCACTCCGTGTCTGACACGTTTTGTGCAAAAACAAATTTGTGGGCAGCGGTGGAAACAAAAAGTGATACGCATGTGTAGGAAACGGGCGTCGAAGGAGATGTGTCTCAATCAAGAGAGATGCCACAATTGCAAAGGTTGCACAGTAGCAGTAGCAGGAAAAACAGCCATGGTTTTATTAAGCAAATGATTGATTGCATCATGTCCTGAGTTTGAACTGAGTGGGGAGACACAGATCAACATGTTGGAATTATGTATGCATGCCTACGTGTCTACATGTTCGCGTGCTTGCAAATGATAAAGGGGTCCCAAGTCCCTGTTTGCTTATTGCATATATATTTCTGACACCACTACACACGCGCGCACGCGCGCATGCACACACACACACACACACACACACACACACACACACACACACACACACACACACACACACACACACACACACACACACACACAACGTTGATGCCTTGCTCCTCAGGTTCGGTCGCCCTTTGCAATCGACTTGCCAGTGGCGCATCGTGTGCTCGACTGTGCTATCAACGTCTCACACTACCTGCCGCCCACTTACCCTCTTGCACCAGTAAGTCCCCCCTTCTGCTCCTTCCCCCACTCCCAACAGTCCCCCTTCACCGCGCCGTTTAGATAAGATTGACTGCCTTCTGCCTTTTAAAAGTCACCACCAGGATGCCTCCTGGACGCCATTCAGCAACTCCCCATTTGAGAAGATAAGGGTGACTTGCAGGCTAATGAATCAATTGCATGTATTTTCTGCACATGTTGCCGCTTCTTCTCACCTCCAGGAGGATGTCTCTTGGAGGCCAAGCAGCGAGTCCCCAAGCAAGAGGATGGTGGTGTTTGTCTCATCGCTCAGCATGCAGCACTTCAACGACATGCAGCACCACTACCTGCATCACCACGCGCACAACAGCACTCTCGTTGATTTTTGGACGTGAGTGCATGCTATGTAGGAGCATGGCACCAAACCGCTGTTTGGTTTGGTGCAATTCAGTTCGGTTTTCCCCGAACCGAACCGTTTTTTTCTTTGCTTCCAGTTTATCAGCGAACCAAACCGGGTTGTTGGTTCAATCGGTTTGTTATCAACAAGTTCCCGAGCCGCGATAAATCGTCCGTGGTCGTGCCGGTTTAAATATATCCCAAAACCCATTGTTCTGGAGCTCATTCTGAGCTTTGACTCTCTTTCTCTCTCTCGGTGTCATCATCCTCCTAGCCCTGCCCTTCCTTGCACAAGCTGCCCCACTCGGTGTGGCTCCTGCACTTCCCGACACTGCGTGCCCACCTCAAAGTGTGCATCGAGCCCGGGAGAGGTAAGGTCACCTCCCCGAATCCCGTCGGAGGTGGGGTGGCGAGAGTACCAGGCGTCCCACCCAAGATAGGTGCCGAATGGTCCTCTCTCGCCCCCCAACACCAGCCTGGCCTCCTGTGGCCAATAGACCCAAAAAACGAACGTTTCTGCCGTGGGAATGTATAAAATCATGTAGCCTAAACGGAATGCTGCAGAATGTTAACAGAAAGGAGTTAGCCTTGGAGCTTAATCATAGCGCTAAACCTGGGTATCTGGTGGTGGGCCACTGTTGATGGTACCTTCCATTCAGGAAACGAAGGTAAGGGAATCTAGCCTAGACCTGACTTTGTGAGGTGAGAATGACGGCCAGCCCTAACCCTTCCACCTCGACTGGGTGCGGGCGAACCATGAATGTTCAACCGAACCCAACCTGTTCGGCCGAAATTGTTGTTCACTCTGAGAAAAGTTCGGTTTGACATACAGTCGAACCTGTTCAAATGATCAAAACCAGGGTTCGCGTTGTTTGTTGTACACATCTACTTCAAGGTGCCTCCAAGGTCCCACTTAAGCGCCCTGAGTTTCTTGACGTGGATAGTGATTTAATGCCTTCAGCCTGAGATGGGTATTTCCGCATATTCACTATTCGCACTGCTGCATGCAGGAAAGCACTCTCATTTACTTCTGTTGACTTATGCCATGCCCTGCTTGTTCCTTCTCAATGCTTATGTGCTACCTTGTAATGGCAGGCTGACCAATGAGAAGGTAGAGAGTCATGATGAGAAGCAGATGGTATCAGCAGTCGTGGACATGTGGCTGCTGAGCTTCTGGTGAGTTGGAGCTGAGCTTTCAGTCCGCTGACCTTGAGCCTCTGCTGAACTGATCTGGAGCTTCTAGTGAGCTGACCTTGAGCTTTTCTTGAGCTGACCTCAAGCTTCTAGTGACCTGACCTTTAGCTTTTAGTGCGCTGATCTTGATCTCTCACTGAGCCGACCTTTAGATTCTTAGTGTGTTGGCTCACTGCTATGGCTGCTGCTGCTGCTGCTGCTGCTGCTGCTGCTGCTGCTGCTGCTGCTGCTGCTGCTGTGTTGGCCTTGCCCTGCCTGCATTGGACTGCTTCTCATCCTATCGCTCCCCTGTGTTTGTGTTCTGCTTCCCTCCAGTGACTGCCTGCTCGTAACATACTTGCCGTCATTCGGCAGCGCAGCAGCAGCCGTGCCATCCAGGCACACCTGTACCCAACCAACTTCCAATCCGCCCCTCCCTATCTGCAACCCCGCCCTCCCCGATTTCCTCCCCCGAACCTGTCCTAATCACTCCCCTCACCTTAGCTGCCCCCACCGCAGCGACCGGCTGTTCTTAACGCACTCTTCGAAGCTCCCTCCGCTCCCATGTGTTCCCGCCCCTCCTATGTGTTCCCGCCCCTCCTCTGTGCTTCTCCCTGCCTCCCCACTTCCCCCGCCTCAGCGACCGGCTGCTCATAACGCATCTCTCCACGTTCGGCAGCACGGCAGCGGGGCTGGCGGGCATAGACGGCCACTCCATGGCGATCACAGTGATGCTCGGCCTGGGTGTTGACTGGCGCAACTCCTCCGGCCCCACGTGCCAGCCTGTCTCCTCCGAGCCCTGTGACCCCCTGGGCGCTAATGTCAGATGGGTGAGTTGCATCGGATGGGTGAGTTGCATCGGATGGGTGAGTTGCATCGGATGGGTGAGTTGCATCGGATGGGTGAGTTGCATCGGATGGGTGAGTTGCATCGGATGGGTGAGTTGCATCGGATGGGTGAGTTGCATCGGATGGGTGAGTTGCATCGGATGGGTGAGTTGCATCGGATGGGTGAGCTGCATCGGATGGGTGAGTTGCATTAGATGGGTGAGTTGCATCAGATGGGTGAGTTGCATCAGATGGGTGAGTTGCATCTGCTTGCGCACCCCACAGGGGCAGTTGGTACGTGAGTCCCTCTTGAGCCATGTCGATGTATGTGAGAGTAAATATTGTGTTCTAGGTTGTCAGGTATTTGTCACCAGCAGTGAGTTTTATATGGGGTGCATTTTATCTGTGCAGGGCGGGTGCAAGAATTTTTGCCGGTCCGGATTGAAGCTCGGGTGGATGATGATGCCACGATTTGGCCAGTGCCCTGGGATGAAGTTTGGTTTGCAAAACAATAACCCCCTGAACACTGTTCATGTCCAGGGATGACATGTGACTATATTAGTAGAATTGTGTTAGCATGGGCTATGAGATTTTAAATTTGTTTCTCGGTATTCGGCATGTTCATGAGAGTTTTTGTGTGGGTTTGATCTATCACCTTAGTGTTTTGTACCACTTGTCACAATCAGTCAATGGTCCGGAATGCTTCAAATGATAGGAACAGGCAATATACGGTAACAGAAACCAGAAAACCCCCACCCACGGCCCCCTCAAGGCCCCTTTAAAGCTCAAGGCCCAAATTGCGGGCCGCGCTGGGCAAGATTACTAATCTTGCGCAGCTGTTGTTTTGGTGCTGTGGTTTGGCGAATGTTGGGTTACGGTAGGAACGAATGAATCTGATTGGTCGAGGCCAATCTCACTGCAGAAACTTCAACTTTCAGTATTTCTCAATTTGGGACTCTCGGACCCAAACTGGATGTTTGCCTTGGGGTTTGCTGACTCAGCGAATGTTGCGAGGGC